ACAAAACCCCCTCATACGTCTTTGAAACTATTTAGAAAAGTAAGGCAATGGTTAAAAATCAGTTGTCAAGGTCTTCTTTATATAAACATGGATAGCTACATCTCTTAGAATTTAATTTCTCATTTAACCAAATGTTATTCATTGTATAGTAGCAAAACAAAAAAGTTAGGTCCACCGCACGATCTTAATCAAACTCCGTGCGAGTGGCAAATGCTTCCAAATGGTGCCACTAGCACCCTACTGGCAAATACGTCTGAATAGTAAGATACCTTTCCTTTCCTTTCCTTTCCTTGCTAGGCGTCCATGCCTATTCGCAATCGCAACAGGTCTTATTTGATTTATTTTGTAGTTATTAATCATAAAAATAATATAATATAATTAAAAAAATTTAAACTTATCATAGTTTTTTCCCAACTCCTATCTTGGTTTGTTTTCAGTAGGAAAACTTCTCTCTTGCTGAAGTCATTGTTGTCTTTCTTTAATTTTCTGTTGCTTTGATCAGTCTGATTCCACTTGGGCAGTTTGATGTAATCTTGAATGCGTCAGCTCAGCTGTACCAGAATGAGTAAACTTTACATGGTCCTAAATACCAGCACTTGTTTAATTTTTTAAAACAAAATGAAAAAGGATGCTAGTTATAAGAAAAGCCATAGACAATATTGTTAGGTGTAAAGAAGATGAGGTGCATTTATTAGCATGTAAACCCCAACCCTCATGTCGGTATGTACTTTGTCTTGATTATTCACAACTTTTTTGAATGAGTGGATCAAAAAGCTTTGGCTTATAATAATTGTTTGAATGATGGATGAGATGGTGTTTGGATGCATATTTTAAATATCTATTTAATATTTCGGTTAAAAAATTAAAATTAAAATTAAAATTTATAAAAATATAATAATTATCAAAATTGATTCAATTTTTACAAATTTTTTTCATCTCAAAAACTTCATTTTATCTTTATGGTTATCAAACTCTCCTCTCTCTCTCTCTCTCTCTCTCTTTCTCTCTTACCCCTCTTATTTTGTCTCTGTTTATTTTATATTTAAATTAATAGTGTAATTACAAAAACAATTTTTTATAAAAGATATAAATTTTGATGTAATCCTTAAGACAAAACTCTAAGATGTTATTATAATCCAAAGATGCGAAGTGATTATTTTTGCTAATAAAAAAGTCTTGTGCACATCTAACCTTTTAAAAAAAAAAACTTATACATTANTCACAAATTTTTTTCATCTCAAAAACTTCATTTTATCTTTATGGTTATCAAACTCTCCTCTCTCTCTCTCTCTCTCTCTTTCTCTCTTACCCCTCTTATTTTGTCTCTGTTTATTTTATATTTAAATTAATAGTGTAATTACAAAAACAATTTTTTATAAAAGATATAAATTTTGATGTAATCCTTAAGACAAAACTCTAAGATGTTATTATAATCCAAAGATGCGAAGTGATTATTTTTGCTAATAAAAAAGTCTTGTGCACATCTAACCTTTTAAAAAAAAAAACTTATACATTAAGTTGTTATTTTTTGAGTTTTACCTATACTTATGCATTTGGGACCAACAACTGAATAATTTTGTGCACTTCTGGCTTGCCTTCAACTCCATGCTGATAGAAACCTGTGCACTAATTTGATTTTTTAAAGTTTCAAATTTATTTTTCGTTTGGGAAAAAAGGACTCGCTAATGGTATCAATAAAAAAATTCGATACTATACCTCTAAAATTTATTATTTTAATAGATATTTTTATAATTTTTGTGGGTTAATTTACAATAATTTTTTTTATCATTTTATGAGTGATTTATCATTGTTGTGGTAATTATTTTTATCACTTTTTTTAGTATAAAAAAATTTAATATTTTTTATAAGTAATTTACTATATTTATAAATATTTGTATTATTATTATGAATATTTTTATCACTATTATAAATTCATGATAATTATTTTTATCATTTTTCCACCGGTTTCCCTAAAAAAATGTCAAACTATGTAAGCCAGTGGGAGAGCTGATGAATGACANATAATAATTTTATTATTATTTTATGAGTGATTTATCATTGTTGTGGTAACTATTTTTATCATTTTTTTTAGTATAAAAAAATTTACTATTTTTATAAGTAATTTACTATATTTATAAATATTTTTATTATTATTATGAATATTTTTATCACTATTATAAATTCATGATAATTATTTTTATCATTTTTCCTAAGTTTCCCTAAAAAAATGTCAAACTATGTAAGCCAGTGGGAGAGCTGATGAATGACAAATAGAGTGGAGAAGAAAAGCTGCAACTGTTAGAGATAGATTCTGAGAAGAAAAAAAATACATCAACACATAAATACTGCCTAACGTCTTGCTGCAAACCTGACCAGAAGTTGTACCCCTCTCTCTCTCTCTGTATATATACAAGAGCATATCTATATAATAATCAGCTAAAAAATTAAATTTTTACCCCTCCACATTTTTCTTCCAAAAAAATCAGATCCTCCAATTTTATCACATGTTCAATAATTTAATATTTTATTAATTTATAATTTAANAAAGTACATCAACACATAAATACTGCCTAACGTCTTGCTGCAAAC